TGTAAGGGCATTTGCTAAACATTCATTTAATTATTGTAGGGCGGTCTGGAGGGCAGGTAGCGCTGAGGTAGCGGCGCGCTGGTGATCGCCAATATGGATGAGAGTGAGTATTGGGATGAAGCCCATCCTGCAGCTGAACGTGGCAGAAGACAAAGGAGATTCGGTGGTGCGAGACTACCAAGGAGGAACAAAGCCCCTGCCCTAAACTCGTCAGAACGCCTGGAAAGAATCTGGATATCACGTTAGTCGGCGTAATACACGTACCCCTGGCTGTCACACTTGGATCAACAAACTGGACTCAAAGCTAACTCCAGAATCGCCGTAATCTACAAGAACGATCAAAAAGTGTCCATGCAACACAAGAGATGAGGGCAGAGTTTATCACAGTCTAGTTGTGGTGAGCCAATCTTCTATTGCTGCCGGTGTCGCGATAGGTCGTGCGCGGCATCAAAAAAGGCAAAAGGACGCCAACACTTTTAATGCAAAACCCTCGAACAAACCTCCACTATAAAGACATGGCAGAGACTTGCTCCCCTGTTTGCAACCATAAGCTATACTCACCCTCGGCAGGAAGCTAGGCAGAGAAGCGAGAGGATATGCTGCCAGAAACATAACTGGGAGGCAAATCATCGTGGACAGATAATTCTTCCCACCCCCTCCCACACACACCACAACTCAGGACAAGCACTTAAAGATGCCTCAGCTCAGCACACAGTACATCATATACATGCCCCGCTGCTCTAAGGAACGATATCTATCTATCTCTAGTCACCTATAGATAATTATTTAATGACAACAAACCCTGCAAAAATGTTGGGGGTTCTCTTTTCTTTTGGGTTGGTTATGGTTGGTATTTATACATTGTGAAGTAATTTGCAGTGGACCCCATTCTCTATTCTTTATGTAACTTTATGTAATTTTTATCCTATTACACATAAAAGGAAAAGCAGACAGTTAGTCTCACCTCCATGTTTGGTTTGAATCTGTCTTCAAATATAGAGACAGCAGCTGCAGCTCCAGAGCCTAAAACCAGAATCAAACATTAGGATTTTTTTTAATTTTGCTTACTCAGTTTTTTATATTTTGTCTGATGTTATGGTTGAAATAACAAATGAATGTGAAACTTTCAGACACCCGTCCAACTTAGTCACACACACGGATCTACACAGTACATTAAACACATAAACATGACTTACCCATGGTGAGGAAAGGCAGTTTGTCGTAGGAGCCGTGTGGGTAAACACTGAACAGGTGAGCTCCTGTCACATCAACTCCTCCAACAATCAGAGATGAACCGACGTGACCCTGGTACCTGAACAACCAGACAAACATCAGTTGTTGCATTTTCTCTTTCAATGGGACGTATAAGGAAGAAGTCTGCCTGGACACATGTGAATGTTAATGAACATAGAAACTCAAGAAAACAAAAGACAGAAGAGATTATTATTATACAAGAAACTGAAACTGAAAAATGCTTAATATATGACCATAGGTGATTTTGTATCCTTTATATTACATTACCCTTTACCTGAACAGCATCTGTTTCAGCTGCCGGGTTACCATGGCAACAAGGGGGGGTCGCCCAGTGTTGAGTGTGTGCAGCTCCACGTTGGATGCCATTATCTGTGTGGTGATCTCTGCGTCTGCAGCCACGCCGGCCCCACAGCAGCTAGAGAACATAGAGGACATAGTTATTTTGCCCAATATATGGTCAAATTAGATCACTGTTATTTTGATAACAATGAACTGTTATACAGCCTTTACTGTCTCATTAGGCTTGAAAATTAATTAAATAAAAGCTCTAAAAGCCTTTATAATCTTTTACATAAAAATGCAGTTACATGTTTTACATAGGCTACTAATCCTAACCCACTAAATGATTACAATACACTTTTTTAAACATTTGTGTTTTACTATCATATGCTTAAAGGTCCAGGTCTAGGATTAAGTGGCATCTAATGGCATATAGTGGCAGATCACAACTACCTTGCTTCACCCTACAATTGGGGTAGCTGTGGAAGTAGAGCAGATTGTCCAGTAATCAGAAGGTTGGCAATTCGATCCCTGGCTCCTCCTACTGCATGTTGCAAGATGCTTCTTGTCCAAAGGGACTTTTTCTCTTACAAATAAACGCATACTGGGATAAATTTGGGGTTCAGTGTCTTGCTCAAGGCCACCTAATTACAAGCCCAGGACGAGCTGGGGATTGAATCCCAGATTCAAGTAATGGCCATACTGTTGTAATAGTCCAGTTAAAGTGGGGTTAAATTGAAACTTTCCATGAGTACAGTAAAAAAAATGGCAACAAATGTTATTCTATGTAATCTAGGATAATGTGAAAACATTTATTTGAGTTTAAAGTGTTTTTAATTACTTTAAACTCAGAACAGAAAAAATTCACATGTGGCCCTTGAAACCCCCCTTGAACCAATCTTTAAAAACTGATTGAAATACATTTCACTTCCAGAGTTACACTGGGAATATGAGTGAGGACACAGCCAGGGGTTGTCCTGTTGTGGACCTTTAGTTTTACTCACTAGATATTTGGAGCGATGTAATGAATCTTCATGCAGTTTTTGTCAGCCACCACCATGTCGTCTGTTGCCCTGGTGTCTGCCCCAAGGATCACGCCATCCTGATAGACAGGAAATACTCACCATATCTGACTGATGTCAAGCGTTTACTTCCTAAACACTAAAACAGAGTCCTAACAGCATATCTTAAATAAAAGTAAGTTAAGTAAGTTAACATAACTTAATCCTCCAAAAATGTATAACACCCATTGCCATGAATTAAGCCTATCCAATCCAATCCAACTTTATTTGTTTAAGCACTTAAAACAACAAAAGTTGACCAAAGTGCTGTACAGGAGATAAAATAAACATCATAATAAAGACATAACACTCAACATGAGGTGCAAAATTACATATAAAATACAACCAAAAAACATGAGTAGAATATAGCCACGCAATAAAAAGCATAAAAATAAGATATTAAATCAAGTAAATAAAGTCGAAAACATCTACTAGGTGTCAAAGGCCACAGAGAAGAGATAGGTTTAGAAGGGATTAAAAAACAGACAGAGAAGAGGCCTGTTTAACGTGCAGAGGCAGATCATTCCAATAATTTAAGGAGCAGCACACGCAAAGCAACGGTCCCTCCTGAGCTTTCCGCTTAGTTTTAGGCACACCAGGAGCCAGCTGATCATCTGACCCTGAGAGAGCGGTACGGGTATTATATGCGGTGTAGAAGCTCAGAGAGGTAGGCGGGGCAGACCATTCAGGGATTTAAAAGCAAATAAAAGAATTTTAAAATGGATCCTAAATTGAATAGGCAGCCAGTGGAGTGAGGCTAAAAGCCTAACTCAAAATATATTGTTTGAGTGCACTTAAATTGTGCATTGTTTAAAGTATTTGTGTTCTAATTCCAGTGTGTTCAATTGACTTGTTTAAGCTAACTTTATATAATTTAAAAAATGCAAACTCCAATGACCATGGTCAGTCAATGCTGTGTATCTTCAGATTTTTAAATTTTTGTTTTAATTTCAGTTTATAAATCAACATATGCCCAAGTATACATCCATACCCCGAAGTGTAAAGATTTAAAGTTACATTAAAAAACAAGTCTGCTGCTTAATTACAGCAGTAACAATTA